CACTGAGCCGTCTCCCCAGTCCTTCTCTGGTTTAGCACAGACACAGAAGGCTGCCTGTGAGAGTGTGAGATTCGAGGTGGAGAAGCATGCCGTGTGCTGCCTGCCCCGCCATTTCTCTGCCAGGCCCTGGGAAGTCAGCAGAGAACAAGGCAGGACTGTGGCTGCCTCCAGACCTTTCAGAAAGAGGGAAGGGCAGTGCCATGCAGCACAGGATAGCCCAGAATGGCTTGTCTCCTGGTACAGTAAATGGAAGATGCCTGGGGCAATGGCGGCATCTAAGAAGGAGCTGAGACCTGAAGGACCTCAAAATGGCATCCTCGGACATGCATGTCAATGATGATGACAGTGACCGTTGTTATTACAGTGATAATTACCAAAGCTTATTAAGTGCCTGTTTGTGGTCATGAATTACTCTAAACATTGGTGAAGTACAAACTAGAATTGAAACTCAGGTCTGCCTCCCCTGAGAGCCACCCTTCCCAATGGCATCATACCACCTCCCTCAATGGAGGCTGTAGAAACACATGGCCGTGTGTGGTGCTGAGGGGAGGGCACAGGGTGAGCTCAGCCTCGCAGAAGGAATCAACAGATTTTTCAGCATTGGGGAAAAAGAGCCTGAATGGTTTCCTCTCCAGTAGACAGAGCCAAGCTGGGGACTGAGCTGACTGCTGTGTGGGCAAGTCTCCATGTCCAGTTAGGCAGCAGACACAAGGTAGGAACGACTGACTACCTGCCCTGGACCCCAGGAGCCCAATAAGCTGTTGGATGATGGGATCCCACCACCCGTCCCTCAGCCTCTACCACACTAGAAATGATGTAGTTCTGTTGCGTATGCATTCCAGGTCTGTCTCTGTCACTTTAGACAAAATTTGAACTCAGTCTTCATGTCAGGGACCAAGCAGCCTGTCCTACTCCTGTCCCTCCAGCTGTCCCTTGCCCAGCAGGCATGGGACACAGTGGCAATAACATGGTCTCTGGGATCCCGTGGATCTAGGAAGGCCAGCTTCATTGTTATATAGAGGTGGTAATTCTGGGATCATCACTTAATCTTTCTGAAACTCTGTTTTATCATCTGGAAAGGACCTCAAGGACTACTGTGAGGGCCAAGGTGTAAAATCAGAGTTAGATGGGGGCTATTGGATTGACTGTCCATAGTGGACAAGCACAGGGACACAGGAAGTAGACGAGTGATTGGGGCTGGGGCATGGGAAGGGGATGATAGGTGTGAGTCAGGGTGAGGTGGGAAATGGTTGCCATGGTTGCAGAGTTTCTCTACTATGTGATGAAAACACTAAAATTGATCATGGAGCTGCTGTATAAGTCTGTAAACATACCAAGGACCCACGGATTATTTACTTTAAGTAACTGCAGCATAATACTTACATTATACCCCCAAATAACTGGTTTGTTTGAAAAGTAAAGACATAGTAGAATAGCTTTAAGTTCTGCATGGCTCAAGCTCACTTTATAGATACACCCGTGCTGCACACATGTGATAATCATGTGTTTTCATATGTATATATGTTATGAACACTTGTATGGAATGTATGGATATATGTATGCATATATACATACACAAATAATACATGTATACATACAATGGGTGGATTTAGCCTACAAAGATCTCAGCAAGAATTTTCCATCTGTACAGAACATTTAACACGCTCAAGGCACGGTGTCACGGTGACACATGGGGAAACTGAGGCTTGGAGAGTTGACCAAGAGCACAGAGCTAGCCAAGCAGGAACGGTGAACCAGCATAAAGCGGGGCTGGGCTTTTTGTGCTCAGTCTCCATAAGCTTTTCCAGCCCCTCCATTCTCCTTCCCTCCTCCCTTCCAGCACACCTCCAAAGCGCTAGAGGGAAAGCCACTGGGGACCGCTTTGAAGCCCAGGCTTCTGAACTGGGCAGGAAGGACTCTCAAGTAAGCATGTCCTCCCCTTCTTTCCATTCCTTAACTCTATAATTACATCCTAGCTGGAGTGCTTGAAGGAGAGGGTCAGCTCCATGCAGCAGCAGGCTAATTATGTGGCAGAATTTCTAAAAATTATCATCTTATAAATTATGTTATTCCTCTGAAGGTGAAAAAAACACCATACCACTTCCTCAACCACGTTTCAGACTGAATTAATTAGTAATCTGAAGCCCAATTATCAGCCAATCTATTGGAACATGCAGGTCTTTTGTATTTGGATGGTATGTACGATTTGCAGCCTATTAGTGGCAGTTGTAAGGATCTGAGAACTCCTTAGGTCAGAAGAAGACAAATGTAGCTCAGAGGACAGGGCAGCCTGAGGGGCTGACTTGGGAGTGCTGTGACTTTGCAGGCGCTGGAACACAGATGGGGGTGGTGGTGTAACTAACTACTTGGGATCCTTCAGTGACTCTGAGGCCACAGATAGGTAACTGTATGGCCCTGCCTCTGACCCATGTGTCCTCATCCAACAGGTACCCATGAGGTCTCCACGACGTATCCTGGAGTAGTGCGTGCTGTCATCAATCCTGGCTAGCCCGACAATCCTGTGTACTGCAGTGTGGCACTGGCCTGGCCATAGCCCTCGCTGGTTCTGTTTCCCACAAGCAAAGAAGAGCCCAGGGAGTTGACTTCTTCTGTCCTATCTGGCCCTATGTACCTGGGACTTGAGATATGTCAAGGGCTCCCCCAGTCTTAATAAAAAAGTAATTCATTCTTGCAAATTGTCTTTTGTCGGGGTGAGACCTTTGGCTTCCCTCAGAAGTCTCCCAACAGACCCCACCCATTACAATGTGAATACTCTAAAAGTAATGGAGTTAGCCACTGACATCGGAGTCTAAATTAACCTCTTTCAGTACGTCCTTTTGATTTCCAGTCTGAACCTCGAAACACTGGGAAATCCAACACGAGGTTATCTAAGTGGGTAGAGAAGGGGAGGGCCAGGACCAACCTAAGGTGGGAGAGCAGGCTGGAACTTGGGCCAAATTTAGGGATTAGACAGATATCTATCTGGACCCCGCTTTTAGACACAGATCTTGTGCCTTAATTCAACTAATGACATTTATTGCCTAAATGAGATAAAACACTAATCAGTTCGTTATCAACCTTGTGCATAGAAATAATCAACGCAAGATGCTCTGGATAAAGCGGAATGTGGCTGCGTATTCAGCTCGGCAAGTTTAAAATTAGAAATTGTCACATAGGTAAAGATGTGATCAAAATCACATCTAAACGGAAACCTAGAAAATTAAAAAGACAGGGCAGGGTAGCGAAGAGCCTGCACAGAGCTAACACTGATGGAAACCAACACGCAGTTGGATTTGGTACCAATTCGCTGGCAGCTGTAGCCAATTTGGGAAAGTACTGCAGAGCTCCTCCAGATTTTAGCTGGAGTTCAGCATGCAACCTGGCAACCCTGTATCTAGGTTTATCTAGGTGTGCGCCGATGGTAAATCTTGCACATGTTGGTCTTTGTAACATTCCCAGAGAGGTAAGGACTTGGATGTCCATCAGCTATTTACTACGGATACAGCGCATTTTGCTTCTCCATCATGGACACAGTGAAGTAAATGAAAGGGTACGTTTTATAGAGAATGTACGTTAGTTGTCGCCAGGGCCTGGAGAGCTTGGAGGGAGATATATTCAGTGACTATGGATGGGTATGGGTGCTGAGAAGGTTTCAAATTAAGTTGTGGTGATGGTGATGGTTTCAATACATGCAGACCCAATAAACTGCACAGTGTAAGGTGGTGTGTGGTACATGAATTTCATCTTAAGCCTCTAAAATATGGGACTGAGCACAAAATAAAATTCTATTTGACCTTGGGAAAAGAGCTGTCAGAATCAAGCTTCGTGGTACAAAAGAGATAAACTGTGATGGGAAAATGGACCTGACAGAGATGGTCATCACCGGAAAAAACCTCGAATGGCACGTTCCAGCTGCTAGGTAAAAAATACACGCACAAAGATGATTTGGGAGACCGAGTTGTCTCTGTGACATGTAAAATAGTTGCATCCAATAAAAACAACTGCGTTGTGTTAAAATGAAAACAATTTTACACGGGTTTATCTGGACTGTGTAGAAAAGGCATAAAAACTAAATTGACATTAATATAGGTCACAGTGTAAAATGGTTCCTGGCTAAAGATTTGTCAGTTTCACCATAATTATGATTTAAACGTCTATATTTATGAGTAGTAAAACTAAGCACTGGGTCCAAAACCAGTGGGCTCAACATCTAGTGTTCATTCAAAGACAGAGTGAGTTTTCCTTACTCCCAGGGGCAGAGGGAATCAAAGAGGGGTTTAGGATGAAGATTAAAAGCCCGTACTACAGCCCCCAGCATGTTTCCTCCCAATGACAGAAGTTCATGAGCAGTGTGCTGCAGTTTGAAAGGGACTCTGTGATGGCTAGCTTTAACTTGTCAATGGCACACAACACAGGACCCCATCACCTGGGAACTACACTGGGTTGGTCTCTGCATGTATATGGGGAGTGGGCCTCATGAAGTTAACTGATGGAACACCCAGCCCACTGTGGGTGACACCAGTCCTTAGGCAGGGGGTCCCCGACTGTATAACAGTGAAGAAATAAACTGAGCTGAGCTCAAACGAGCAGGTCAACATACGTCCATTCACTGCCCTCTGCTCTTGACTGTGGATGTCATGTTTGCAGTTCCTGCCTTGACTCGAGCAGGTCAACATACGTCCATTCACTGCCCTCTGCTCTTGACTGTGGATGTGTTTGAAGTTCCTGCCTTGACTGTCCCGCAGTGATGGACTGCAACCTTGAATTGTTATGTGAACAGGCCCTTCCCCCTGAGCTGCCTTTTCTCTGGATATTTTATCATGGCAACAGAAAAGAAACTAAAACAGATCTGTCAGGGAGAAAAGGTGCATTCATTGTCTTTGAGACTTAGAGGGCTGGGAGTCATTCCTTCCTCCCACACAGTTCACACCAGGCAGGTGTGAGGCAAGCTTGGAACCCAGGGATACGGAGAGCCTGAGAAGACAGCCAACTCTACTCACCAGATTGGCCAGGATGTAGTGGTAACCGATGCCATTCTTCTCCATCTTTACGATCTAAAAAACATAACAGGAGAGGCCCCATCAGTCACGCTGATGACAGGCCGGGCAGTAACTGACATTAGCCGGGTATTTACGTGTCCTCCTTTATCCCACATAGAAAACCATAATATCTCCATGTAACAATGGTGTCACTGTTAGCATCTTTGACAGATAAGAAATAGCCATGGAGAAGTAAATCAAGCTCTGCCAACTTGCCCAGCTCTGAAGGGGAAACGCACGATTGGAGATCAGTTTTTTTCTCTGGTTCCACAGGCACAGAGCTGTCACTACAACCACCAGGATGTGGCCGCAATGCTCACTGCTCCCCTTCCATGAAGCGCTCCTCATCATGGGGGAACCCTGCCACTTGTGCGGAGTTGGTGTTTGCTGCTTGGATGGCCATGTGGGAGGGTGATGGCTGCTCGTGCATGATTCACGTGCAGAGCCCATTTTTGCTTTGCTTCTGAGTTCTGTTTCCTCAATCAGCACTTTGGTATTCAGGCAGCAATCGATCAATCAACTTGGATCTTGGGAGGGAATGCTGGGCCACCTATCTAACCCTCATTACACAGATGGGAGGTGGTCTGAAGTGGAGGAAGTGATTTGTTCAGACCCCAGTATAGTCTGGTAGCGAAGCCAAGATTGGAATTTGATGCATGAGACTTTATGATGTCTGGTTACTGTTAATCAAAAGAGCTGGGATCCCCAAACACCCTCCTATCTTTTTTTTTTTTGCATGTCTATGTGATGTGTATACATGAATATATGCATGTTTGCTTGTGCACATGCATGTGGAGGCCTGAAGTAGACATAAGGTGTCTTCCTTGATTGCTCTCTGTTACATTGAGGCAGGGGCCAAGCTGGCTCATCTAGTCAGCCAGCCGACTGTGGAGATCCCTTGTCCCTACAACCTGCACTGAGTTTACAAGTGGGCTCCCACACCCATCCAGCATTTATGTGGGTGCTTTGGATCTAAACTCTGGTCCCCACACTTGTGTGCCAAGCACTTTACTTACTGAGCCATCTCCCCAGCCCCTACTCTCCCATCTTGAATACAGACTGTCCCTTAATCATCACAGACAGTGAAAAATATTGGTGAGAAACCTACCCCAGGTTTGCTAGGGCAACAGGACATACAGCCTCATGAGGAACAGTTAAAATTGCACACCTTGGTTCTGGTACTAGCTGGCCTGGAAATTAACTTGATCTATTTCTTCCTTCCTCTCTCTATTTTTTAAAAAAATCATCAAATTGGGTTAGTATGCCTTTCCCCTTCACTGATACAAAGAGACATAAAATATATGAGAGGCGCTCAGGCTCCTGCCCTAATGCAATACATTTTCAAGGTTATTAAACTCCACACTCAGACATCTACTTAATTGGATGTATGTGCATAGTGGCTCACATATTTTTAATGTGGGGAATAATTAAATGCAGGCACACAATGAACACACCCAAACAGTGCCTAGACTGTGAAATTCCACATGGCAGAGCTCAGATACCACTGGGGTGATAGTTTTATTAATAATTCTTCATTACTTTTTCATTTTCTTGACAAATGGCTTGCTGCCTCTACAACACAGAGATACCTTTATCAAAAACCCATTCTGCTTCCAATAAACAGAAAATAGCAAATAAAAGATATTTCAGAGCCCATCATATTTGGGCAGTGAAGAGGTACAGTTCATGCAACATGGAAATACAGGATGAAGCAAAGAAGAGCCAATAATTGGTTATTTAAAAATTGTATTACTTGTGTGTGTGTGTCTGTGTCTGTAAATGACCATGGTGCATCACACACGTGTGTTCGTGCCGGAGGCCAGAGAAGACATCTGATTCCCTGGAGCTGGACTTACAGGTGGTTGTGAGCCACCCGACACAGGTGCTGGAACAAAATTTGAGTTCTCTGCAAGAGCAGCAAGTACCTTTAGCTGCTGAAACATATCTTCAGCCCTGATTGGTGACTTTTAACAAGTAAAAATGAGCAACTTGTATAAGTCAGGCTGACAGTAACTTTCCCACTCTCCCTAGCCGATGGCCAACCTGAGTGCTTTGACTCATGCTGTTTCACAAATATTTATCAAGCACTAGCTGGCTCTGCATGAAGGTGACTCACAGGAAAAAGGAGTGAAATAAGACACCCTGGGTGGGAGAGAGCCACCACAAACAGGACACAGAGATACGTGCCCACGGTCACTGACTGAAAAGGGTAAGTACTGAGCCAATCCCTTCGCTGACCCCACAGATGCCAAATTCATTTCCACTATCTACGTCTGAACAACTCTCTTGTTCTCTTTGGCTATCTATATTCATTCAAGTTGAGTTCTAATCTTACCTCCTCTTACAGCCTTCTATGACCACGCCAGCAAGCATTGACTGGACATGGACTTGATGCTAAGCACTGGCTAACGTGCTGAAGTGTAGCTTAGAGAATGGAGCTAAGTTCCTGTGTGACCTCTCTGAGCTGAGATGCTGTTTTAGTAGAGAGCCAGATGGTAAATATATAAATAGATGAACGACAGCGGCATCAGGAGGTCAGAAACACCACGGACATAATAAAACAGGACAAAGTGATGGATGGCCCTGGAGGCTCTGGTTGGCTCTTACCATAAATTCACTTTGTACATAATGACCATATTACATCGTTTAGGGTCTTATACACTGGGAAAGCATACAGTCCTAATCTATCTTTATCATGATATGTAGATTATACATAAGACTTCCTCCCCCACCATGGGGCTGTTTATTTTCATGTAATATTGTTTTATATTTTACAATCTATGTTTCACCAATGAGAAAAAAACATGCAGTGTTTGTCTTTCTGTTGAGTAGCTGGGATGCTTCAATATTTTGGCTATTGTGTGTGGTGCTGCCCTACGCATGGGCATGCAAGTGTCCCAGTGGCATGCTGAGACGCCTTCAGTGTTGCTGGATTACATGCATAGAGTGGTTATAGCTTCAGTTTTTGAGGAATACCCACACAGACCAGTGGGTATTCCCAGCAGCCCTGCCTCAGGGGCTTGTTCTCTCTGGAGCCTCTCCAGCAGTTATTTGTTTCCTTGGTTTCAGCCATTTTATTTTATTTTATTTTTTAAAAGACACTTTAGCCCCCCCCCCCCCGCCTGAGCCTTGACTCCCCCAGCCTCATTCACCCTCCCATCTCCCCCGCCAGTCTCTCCTAGCTTGGGTCCTGTCCCATTCCTCATCTTGTGGCCCCAGACACCTGGGGAATGAATACTGCTTCCTGATCCTTTTCATCCAGACCAACGTAGTGCCTCCTCTGGGCCCCAGGAGCCCTGCTTCTGGGCCTGGCCCCATCTTCAACTCCCTCTGCTTCCCTGGGCCTGCACCACCTGCCAGCCTCTTTCTGGGACATGGGGGCTGACCTTTCTTTTTCCTGATCCTTTGCATCCAGACCCACACAGCTCCTCAGTGCAGTCCCCAGGAGTCCTTGGGACCTCTTCCCACCCCATCTGCCTTTGCATCTCTGGGCGGCACCACCACCAGCTGCCCTAGACCAGCATTGTTCCTGGGCCTGGCTCCCAGGCCAGTGTAATCCCCAAATTCCTGAGGCCAAAATCGTTCCTGGAGGGATTCACCTTAGGAGAAAGCCTGAAAACAGCTGACCCTCATCTGACTTGGGCCTCTGTGGGAACTCCTGAAGACAAAAGCAATCCAGCCACTCCAATATAAAATCAAAAGAGAGAACTGGAAGCTTAAATGAACCAGCTTTTCATGCCCAAAAAGTAAACCACAAAGACATATAAAGTTCAAAAAAAGAAGTAGACCTAAACTTGAAGGCCCGAGTATCACACAAGAGTCAGAAACTACAAAAGAAATTCACATGTCAAAATCACAGAGAAAAAATAATAACATGAAAAACCAAATTAACGTATCCCCACCAAATACAAATAGTCCTCTGGAGGAG